ATAGCTTCCTATTTTCTTGTCTTTTCCTTCGTAAAGTAAAAATAAAAATGGATTATACTTTAAAAGAAACAAATCGGGAAATTTGTTACGGGAGACAAACGGGGAACAATACGGAAGACCGTACATGATAGCTCATCAAACGACAGACGCGGGTGCGTGCAATACTGCACGAGTGGAAAATGATTCTCATACCATATACGCGTTCCACTACAGGAACTGCATTATTTCAATGTTACGTTTTAACTGGTCACTTACACATTATTAAGAAATCCTCGATTTTTTCATACGTAGTTCAACGTATTGATAAAACAAAGTCTGATGTCCGTTTGTTATAAAGAAAGCGCTGTAAAAAACATAGCCACGAATCAGTAACTTCATTTGAAATGACATTCGATTAGAAAAATTCAATTTAGAAAGGTTAATGAGGTTGTATGTCAAATTACTCGAAGAATGTCACTTGACTAATAGAAAAATTATTTTGGAAATAGCGTCTGTATGTTTTTCGTCTCGTCATAAATCTTTGCTCGTAAAAATTATCATGATTTATGGTCGAATTTTGTTTTACTGCAAACTGCGCTTATTCCTCGTACACCATAGAACAAATGGAACCAGAGAAATTTCTTCTAAAACGAAAAACAATAATAGAAATAATCAATGGCAAGCTAAAAAATGTAAAGAAGTTGAATTGATGGATTGTGCAAACAATGACCCTAGCAGTCATTATAACTATATACTAATCGAATCTCTATCGAACTTTGATGACGCTATATTTATCGGTGACGAATCAATTCTCACAATGTTCCCTGGGACAGCACGTCAGTTAAACATCAATCTTTTGTTTTCACAATACAGCTTCCATAAATTCAGATTTTTGCTTTAATATTTTGTTCATTTTCATCACCAACATTTATGATGGTCTTACAAAAGGCACATATACAATGTAGTTACCTATGTAGACTTCAAAAGCACTTTTGACGATGTGGATATCACTATATAGTACTGCTCAAAATTATAAGGTACCCCTGATTTTACTTCATTGTATTTCCAATTTTTAAGCTTTACAGAACCTTGGAGTTTTGAACCTTCTAGTAGTTGTTCCAGATGTTTTTTACTCAAAATTGTTGTCTTTCTAAACAAATATACTTTGATCCGACGTAAGTTTGATTCACTATCAAATTTTTATGCAGATATGAGTTTTAAAAGTAATATTCTTCAAAACAATGAAATATCATAAATTCCGTCATGATAAAGATACTAAAAAATTTTTTATTAACATATTACAGAATGATTTTTTTTCCTGGTGTTCCTTCAATCTTCAAATTTAACTAACGAAAATTTCAAACAGCCATATATAAAATTGTTCAAACCATGCACAAATAACGTCTAATTTTTATCATTCAAAAATCGCTTATCTTTTGTATTTAAGGCCAATTTTTTGCCAAATAACCTCGTTTTTTTAATGTAGTTTATACAAATTGCAGTAATAGTACACTCCGATACAAGTGTGGAAAAGTACAGATTCTTATCTGGTGTGGAAAGGCACACGAAATTAGAAACTCTTTCCCGAACATGTACGCTACCGTATTTTTCGATACGACGTGTGGAAAGTACGACTTTCAACACTCATTTTTCACGAAGTGTGCGAGAAAGATGTACTTTACGTATGGAGTGTCGAAAAATACATTTTCTAGTCGTTTTAAAGTAATTTGTTTTAAAAAAAATATTTGAGAACTGCAAAGATTTCTTTAGTATTTTTATATGATTTTTCAATTATTGGTTATTGACAAAAAGGAAATATCATGTCAAGGTTTGTCTTTCGGCAAAAGTGAGGTCATCCATACTAATTTATTTAAATCAAATATATTTGATCATAACTCTTACATTGCTTATTTATTTCGTTCGATACAAATTTTAGGTCTGCCATATTGTATTTTATTTTCATCTAATGTGTTTTTGTGTAAACGCTTCTAAAAATTTTTAGATTTACGAATTTAAAAAAAATAATTATCGGGAGCAAAGCAGTGTTTGAAGCAAAAAATGGCAAATTATTGGTTTTTTCAAAGCAAATAAAAACCAGATCAAATATAACTAAATTATTAAATGTAAGTAGACGTGTACAAAATACTATTACTGTTTACAATTTTAAGTGAGAAATAGAAAAAATACGGGAAGACCACGCGCAATAAGTTCTCTAATTGATAGAATTATTATTCAGAAAGTCAAACAAAATCGTGCTTAGAAAATCTATTTTCTTGCAATTTGTATATACTACATTAATAAAAAACGAGGGTATTTGGCAAAAAATTGGCCTTAAATACAAAAAATGAGCGATTTTTGAATGATAAAAATTAGATGCTATTTGTGCGTGGTTTGAACAATTTTATACATAGCTATTTGAAATTTTCGTCAGTTAAACTTGAAGATTGAAGAAATACTAGGAAAAAAATCATTCCGTAATATATTGATAAAAAATTTATAGTGTCTCTATCATGACGGAATTGATGATATTTCATTGTTTCGGTGAATGAAGTGAAATCAGGGTTGTCTTATAATTTTCAACACTACAGTACGCTGATCCACTTGCTAAGGGCCAATAGGCTTTCCAAAATTAGTGTGTAAAGAATACCATAATCTCAAATAAATTTTATTTATTTTGATAGAAATGATAAAATTATCGGTCCCCTTGTTGCTAGAAAAGGTATACTTCAAGGCTATACGTATCTAGTCCAAGAGTCTATAGCATCAATGTTAACCAACTAATCTACATATAAATTATCTACGAATATCTTCTGTTTGCGAATGATATTACCTTAATATCTACTTCAAACAATCCCAAAACGGCATTGGAAATACTGGAACGAAATCTCAAGAGAGTCAACCTTTTTCTGAAGAAAATAGGTTTCTGGCTCTCTTTAGAAAAGAAACAAAAGTTGTCGTACATACCAATAAAATTAATAACTTTTTAAATCTATTACAATACAGGTATCTACTCGGATATCTGTCTCCAGCAACGCTAACTTTTTACGACTTACCCTTGACAAAAATCTGTCATAGTTTAATTATCTAAACCATGTTAGAGAGAAACCTTCACTAGGCGGTCACCTTAGGTCACTTTTACTTATCTACAAAACTATCATTTCAGCATCCATTCACTACGGCTTTTTTGCATTCCTACCAAAATGTCAACCTTTATAAAAAAAGTTGGTGTTATATAAAGAAGAGTAATCAGGTTCGGTCTTGGTCTCGGAAATTCCAAACCTGACCATATTACTTATACTGAATCTGATATCCACTCCATATCATTAAGACAAAGGAAGCTTGTTTACAGCTATAAACTACGTTCATTTTCGATCAACAATCATCTTGCAATAGCAGCCATAAAGAATTTCGTTTACTGATTGAAGAATACTTTTCTCAAATATATTCTTAACTTTCCTCTACTCACTGCTTACCTCAAACTAAGTCTCATTTCAAAAGAAAATGTACTGATCCGATCCTACCATGTTTTATCAGATGGAAGTTCAGCAGACAATAATCCGACAGTAGACAAAGGATACGTCATAGCCAAGGCAGAGAACTCAACTGATGAATTCAATGTAATTTCATGAAACTCTGAACTCGTATATCTCCTTTCTTAAATGGATTGAAAAAAAAAATTACGATAGAAAAAAATGAAAAAAATTTTGTTCTTAAAAGGGAATTGCAATAGTAGATACTTATTTTTCTTGAAAAAATAAGCATTATTTCTCTAAGGAGTTTTTTTCTACTGTGTACACATTCGAAGATAGACGAACTTGAAATAAAGAATGATTTAAAAAATGAAATCAGCATAACTTTAGATCTTTGATTCCAGCAAAATAGAATTATTCTCAGCTTGACGGAGAAACGCTTGCTATCGTTTATTTAGTAGATCATTTCTACCATTATTTATTTGGCAGGCGTTTCAAGCTTATTACTGACAATCAACCATTAGCTAAAATTTTTCATCAACATGCAGATATTCCACGTATAACATGGGCAAGATTATAACAGTATGTCGCATTTTTATTAGGACTGGACTACGAGGTTGTGTTTAAGAAAGGCATCGATAATGCCAATGCTGATTGTCTATCAAGAGCATCGATTCCTTTCAGTTCTTATATGAATGGAGTTATCAACGATGAGGCTAATTTGTTTTGTGAAAAAGCAATCTTGATCATTTGAGCACTTAATATTACATTTGAATCAATTCGCAATGAAATTCTAGGATCAAAAATATCTATTAGAAAATAGAAAAAAGAAAAAATAGATAATATGTACTTTAAAAGAAAAATTTTTCACATTTAAAATAGTTATATTTTTATAATTATTCAACCAACTGCATTATATACAGAATTTATCGTGTTCTCGTTAAATAAAATAACATCATTAAATTCAGCGGTTCGAAATTCATAACATTGACTACATATTGTGTTTTGTATGTTACTTCTCCGCTTCTCATGATACGCAGTAACAGAATCGTCGCGAGTTCCCGGATTTTGAAATTTGAAACTTATCGCTGCCGCGCCGACGGATGTCGGTACATCTGCTCTCTATATATAGCTATGCTCGGCGCAGCAATCTTGAAATTTTCAGCTCATTTATTTACCATTTTTGCAAACGTTATTTTTAAGCCTTTATGCATTGTAATGTATGATTTTTTATGTACAATTTTTCCCTTTATACGATGATCTGCTTATTTTTTCCCGAAATCCAGTCATTGCCGAGTAAATCGCGAAAATTGCATTTAAATTTTCCATTTTTCCTAATTTTCCTCGGACTTAGAGAAAAAATAATTCCATATTTGGATTCCTGAGGGTCTAAAACCCCTTGACAACAAATTAGCTATAATTTCCACGACAATGTTTTAAATCAGACCCAATAGAGGGCTCTATATATTTGTTTAGACTAATTGGCAGATTGTCTAAATTCGTGGTACAGTACTGAGTACAGGTATACATAACCTAGAAGAATATCTTAGTTTGAGAATTTGTAATTTGATTGTGTTTAATGTGTACTAATGTACACGTGAACGCACTAATTAAAAACAATGCAATTTATTTATTGAATGAAGACAACTAATTATACTACATCAAGCTTCAAATATTTTCATTTTTTCTTAAGAAACATGTGAAATGATTTAAACATAACTAAAAAAAGGCGTTCATTTATGAATTATGTTGAAAATATTTAAGTAAATCGTTATTTTAACAACTGTAGCAATGACTAGTAAAGGCCTGTCAAATAGTATAATATCTTTGTCTGATGAAGATGATATATTTCCAAAAAGAAATCAAAAAGCAAAAAAACATATTATAAGTGATTCAGATGATAGCGATGTACCTTCTTCTCCTATTAAACATTCAAATTTAAAAAATGATGAACTAAAAACTTCAGTTTCTTCACCACGTAAAGAATGGGTTGGACCAGACTTCAAGTTAAACTTGAAACCATTAGGCTTTGATAAAAACTTAGAAAAGTGGATTGAAGTTATCAAAAATGATCCAATTATTTCATCTGGTGTTACTCATGTAAGTTTTCATATATACATTAGAATATTCTGTTATTCTTATTTCTAAATAATCAACAATTTTGTTTGTAGGTGAAAAAGGATATATTAGAGCAAGAAAAATCTCATCTTAAAAATGTACATATTGAAATCTTGGAGAAATTCTATTCAGCTATAAACAATATACCAAAACCAATTCTTTCCAAGTTTCCTCAATTTGATCAAGAAACATTTCAAAAACTAAAAATTCTGCATCACAGAGTAAAGGCAAAAATAACGCAAACTGAAAAAAAATTACAAAACTTAAATGTTGCTTATGATAATGAAGTGAATGATAGCTTTAACAGTCATAAAACTGTGATAAATACTAATAAAATTTTCAATGATATATCAGTCAAACATAAGGAAAGCAATTTTAATGATTGGTCACATTTGTTGAAAAGTCATTCCTCTGAATCAAATATGGTAGTTGATAACAATAATGATTTAAAGAATTCTAATACAATACATGATTTAGATTCTACTTTTGAACAATCTATCAGCTCATTAGAGATTTGTGATTCTCCATTAAATACAAAGAAAATTAATTCAGAAAAGCCAACTACACCAATACAAATTAAAAGAAAAAACCAATTTCAGTTAAAAGTTCCAGTCAAAGCTACATTATCTCCAGAAATGTCTAAAAAATTGGAAGTAATGTTGGAAAAAAGCAATAGATCTAACACAGACCATAATGTAGATAAATCATTTATGAGTAAAGGAAATAGCAGTAATGTTAATAAAATTAGTACTTTAAATCTTGTTTCGCAAGGTATAAGTAATACAATATCTGAAAAATTAAATCCTCAAAATATTAGTAAGACCTATCAAAATATTGCTGCAGATAAGAGAACTGTTTTTGAAGACTCTTGGAATGATTGCGAGAAGACTTTTGGTAAAATATACTTAAAATTCGTTAAATAGTTTGTTAATAGGCAATAAATATCTACATAAGTAACAAGAACTGAATATATGTATTTTTACAGAGATTGATGAGCCAAATTCTACAAATACTAATGCATTTTACTGCAATCAAAATTTGAAGCCAAAAATTTCCAAGAGCAACAAAATTGAAGCTAATGTTACAACTCCACATTGCTTAAATATATCATCAGAGTCTGATTGCACCCTGAATGATAGTTGGTCTGGTAACAAAACTAATGCAGAAAAGAGTACAAGTAAATCAGAAATGAATGATTTAGAAGGTAAATTTATGGGAAGTGTACAAAATGATGGGTTTAGCAAAGAACTGAACAGTGACAATTATCCTCACTCTTTAGAAATGATGAAGGCAAGTGTAAATTTTTATCTTTTCTAATTTAAAAAAAAATAATAGAAAAATATCCATTCATGTAATTTTTCAGTTATTTAGACAAAAGTTTGGACTCTACAATTTTAGACCAAATCAACTTCCAGCAATAAATGCAGCTGTTTTAGGATTTGATTGTTTTGTTTTAATGCCGACTGGTGGAGGAAAGTCTTTGTGCTATCAACTACCAGCATTACTTACTCGTGGTATAACCATTGTTGTATCACCTTTGAAAAGTTTAATTTTGGACCAAACTCAAAAACTAAATTCTTTGGATGTAAAAATGCATTTATTGTAAACTTGATTATGCTTTGTAACATGTAGCTAAAGTATAATTTATTTAGATTCCAGCAGCTCATATGTCTGGTGATCTAACGGATGAACAGTCTGATACGATTTACAGAGAACTTTCTAAAAAAGAACCAATTTTGAAACTTCTATATGTAACTCCAGAAAAGCTATCTGCTTCTCAAAAGTTATGCAATGCTCTTACAGTTCTTTATCAAAGAGGACAGCTTGGAAGATTTGTTATTGACGAAGCACATTGCGTAAGTCAGTGGGGTCACGATTTCCGCCCAGACTATAAAAAGTTACGTGTTTTACGTGAAAAATATCCTGATGTGCCTACTATGGCATTAACCGCTACAGCTACTCCAAGAATAAGAACTGATATACTACATCAGCTAGGCATGAAATCACCAAAATGGTTTGTTATCTGAATGCAAAGCTTTCACAATACATTCTATGCTTGTAAATTTAAATATTAAATTAATTATATCATATCTTAGGTTTATTTCGAGTTTCAATAGACCAAATTTGAGATACAGTATTATTGCCAAAAAGGGAAAGAATTCCTCAGATGAAGTAATTGGGATGATAAAAGCTAAATTCAAAGATGATTGTGGAATTGTTTACTGTATTTCTAGAAAAGATTGTGATAGTTATGCAGATCAAATGAAAGTCAATGGAATTAAAGCAATGAGTTATCATGCAGGACTCTCTGACACACAAAGAACAAACATTCAAAGCAGATGGATATCTGAGCAGGTACATAAATAAAAGTACTTACATGTACATCAGTATTCTTCATTCCTCTGGTTCTAGATTGTTTTTTAATTTAGGATAATATATTGCTATAAATAATTCAATAAATTTATTCCTCTGGTTGTAGATTAAAGTTGTTTGTGCAACAATAGCTTTTGGAATGGGAATTGATAAGCCTAATGTTCGATTTGTAATCCATGCTGCTCTTCCAAAATCAATAGAAGGATACTATCAAGAAAGTGGCAGAGCTGGACGTGACTCAGAAAATGCCGAGTGTATCTTATTTTACAACTATGCTGATATGTATAGACATAGAAAAATGATAGAAATGGATTCGTCAAATAGGGAAGCTCAAAAAACCCACAAAGACAACCTTTTTAAAATGGTAACTTTCTGTGAAAATACTGCTGATTGCCGTAGGGCACTCCAATTGAATTATTTTGGCGAAATATTTGATAGAAAAAACTGTACAGCTAATAAACAAACTGCATGTGATAATTGCCGAAATCAGGTAAAGCTTTTAAAATAATTTTTATGATTGACTTGTATGGAAAAGAAATAAACACTTTTTTTAACTTATTAGGGGCAATTTGATATTATAGATGTTACTGAAGATGCTAAAGCGTTAGTAACACTTGTCAGAGATTTCAATAAAAATAGAGGCAGAATTACTGTGTTACAAATTGTTGATGTTTACAAAGGTTGTGATTTGAAAAAAATTAGAGATGCAGGTATGCACACGACTATATCAATCTTATCAAAAATAATGTACAACGAAATAAAAATGTTCAAATATCACTGTCACTCCAATTAAAGATAACAAAAATTATTACACTTTGAAGGGCAAAACAAACATAAGTTTTTTGGAAAGGGAAAATTGTGGACTAAAACTGACATAGAAAGATTATTACATAAACTGGTGATTGAAAATTATTTGTCTGAAAGTATGTACATAAATAATGAAATTACGTGTGCTTATCTTGGTCTTGGAGCTAATGCTATGGAGTTAATGACTTCAAATAATGTAAAGGTATGATAAAATCTTAATATTATTTTTTAAATTTATAATTTCATCATAAAAATCATATCCCTTTTTTCTTAGATTAATTTGAAAATGAATAATAACAAAGAGAAACCTACCGCAATTGCCACTGTTTCTAATGTGTCAGTTCCAGATGATAAAGCATTAAAAGATTTACAACAACGTTGTTATATGGAATTAGCTGAAATTATCAATGGAATAGCTGGTGCTTTAGATGTCTCTGCAAATTCTATAATGAATATGGTAGCACTTCGAGCAATGAGCCAACAATTACCAGAAAATGAAGAAGCAATGTTGAAAATACCTCACGTTACAAAAGCTAATTTTGATAAATATGGCAGAGCTTTGCTAGATATTACTCAGAAATACGCTGCAGAAACAAAAGGTAAATGAAATCAAGCTTTGGTTAAGAAGATTCAAATAAAATAATTATGATTATTTACAATTATTCAAAAACGAAATATATAATTTTATCCTTTTATTCTTTTTAGCACTATTAAAAGAATACAAAAAAGTCAAAGCTATAGCAACTGCAAGTGTAGCTGCAAGTTATAACAGCAGTTTACAAGATGATGATTGGATGGAATCTGTAGCTTCTGTAAAAAGAGGAGTCAAAAGACATATAACACGAGGAAAATCTCGTGGTTCCACTAAAAAATTTAAACGTTCTGGTAGTGCAAAAGGAGCTTCAAGGTAAGAATATTGATGTTCTATTTTCTTGATCATACATACTGTTCTGTAATAGTATAAGTATATTAAAGCTAAGCTAAAGCTATATCAGCTTTTTACTTATATAGGCAGAGTTCATCAACGAGTAAGAGGGGTAAAACTACATCTACCAGAGGTAGAGGTGCATCATCGGCTAGTAGTGCTGGCCCTGGACTTGTTGAATTTTCACAAAAAAAACAGTTTCTGAATCATCCTCAGCGTTACGTTTCACTATTATAACTACCATTTTTCAAAGAATTCAATATTACCATTAATTTCATTTTTATTTTTTTAGGAAGTAGTGTAATCTAATTAATTTTTCATCTTAATTTCTTAGGAAAAAATTTGGAAAATTAAGTGTTCTACTAATATTGTTTAAGTTCTTATTTATAAAATCTAGATTGATATATTATGTAAGATTTCTATTTATACTGACAGTACAAATAACTTTCAAAGCTGCCATTTTGCCATGATTATTGTAGTAAATAGAGTTTTTATACAATTGCTATTTAATAAGTATATTTATTTTGCAAGTGTTTTAAGCGCGATAAGGATTTGTGTTCAATGTTTATTGTAAATATGTAATAATTATTATGAAATAGCACTCGTATTTGTACAATATAAATCGTAAAAAAACGTTGACAATCGGAATAATAAAATATTTTTTCATTATAATAATATTTGATATATTTCTTTTTATTAAATTCTGGACAAATTATCTTCTAAGCTGCCGTTTAATTACTCAATTTCGAAAACACATTTCATTGACACGGTGCATGTACAATTACTAAAGAAACCAAAAGAGAGAATTTAGATTAGTATACGTACACTTTGGAACTGTGATTTTTACAGACAACTCTGCATAACAAACTTTGTCTGCGGTAAGCGTAGTACTTTTGAGCGCATTCGAATAAACACTCGTTAACGCGCGAAGCTTTAGCCTTTGTTTTCGCATACTGGAGAATCTTCTTCCGAACAAGGACAGTCCTCTAAACTCGTTGGTGATTTTGCGTTGGTTATTACGACTAATGCTAAAACTAAGACAACTATGGAGCTGATATCTACTTTCACTTAAATCTATATTAGAACATTCTACTTAAAACTGCTTTAGAAGTTTTCGATGTTACAATTATAAAAATATTAATATGTATTTACAACCCCATTGAAAAGTCGTAATTAATTATGATTTTATAGACACACACAATTGAAAATCTGGATGTCAGCAAAATGGCTTAGGTTATTCAAAGGATTTTACGTTTGAAATAAAGTTTGCGGGGAAATTTATAGCATGAAAACTTGCTCGATTTATCGAAATAAAATTTATTGCCAGCAGGCATGCAAAATCTTAACTTTCAAGTTCTTTTATAGACTGACAAATTAGTATACACAAGAATAGTGAATTTGAACGTTGTAGGATAAAGCTTTAATTAATAGCTAAAGTGAAAAATGTTGCTAAAAGCTGTAATTCACTTAAAAAACCAACAGTTGTACAACCTTCCTGAAAGAAGTGCCAGATTATAATGAGCGATAGCGATGATGATGAATTACATATTGCACATACTATAATAAATGCATCGGAATTACCTGCCCGGAGAAAATTAAATGCCACTACAAGATCCTTGCTCGCGTCACGTCAAAACGAAAATAACGCTGACGAAAATGGTAAGTATTTCTACACTCCATTTTTCGACACTTCGTACGCAAAGTGCGTTTTTTCCGCACGCTCGGCAAAAAACGTGCGTTGAAAATCGCACTTTACACACGTTGTATCAAAAAATACGGTATGGCACATGTTCGAGAAAGAGTTTCTCGTCTCGTGTACCTTTCCACCCTCGCTTCCCTCGAGCGTAAACGCCACACGAGACAAGTAATCTACTTTCCCGCACTTGTATCGTAATGTACTATTTTTCACAAGATTTACCATTGTCAAAATTGTAAAGAAAGAGGACTGATATGTACAAATATTTTAGGACCTTATATGGATAGACGTAAAGAATGCATACCAAAGTATAAATATAGACAATGTCTACTTATTTGTCTGATCTAATAATTCATGTAACAATTCAAAATCAAAAATTTATTTTATGTGTTGCAATTGAATATAGACTAGGACGTTTTGTGTAAAAACGCTAAAGAAGATATTCAGTTGCTCTTTGTTCCGTCGTCACTTTAGCCTCTGCGTTTATCGACTGAGTTAAGCAGATTTGTATAATGAGAGTGGTTGGCAGGACTGATGCCCACCGTTTCTAGCTCCCATGGATTCCCGCCACTCAGTCAGTCGGTGCTTTGTTCTGGTAGAAGCATCATCGTGCTGAAAGCTACCCGCGTTTTACCGTGTTTTTTTCATTTTACTTTTACAGTAAAGATGCGAAAAAGTATCGTGCATTTTCTAGCATCAGCAGAGAGATAACAGTAACGAGTAGCAGCAGACCAGTCAGTGTTGTAGCCGTTGCATACGCAAGTGTCGTTGTCATTTCTGTGTGTCCGTTGTAATTGCGTGCTGTGTCTAAGTGTATTACATCGCTATTGCAGCTATTTCTTTTAAACATTGGCTATTGCAGCCATCAATAAACATTCATTCGCGCTTCTTGAGTAGACCTTTGCGGTCTGGGCGCAATATGCTAGAGTTCGTCTTTTCTCAACTCTGCAACGATTTCCATGGTAAGCCGTCGAAACGTGCATGTTAATATTACATGTGTATATATGTGTGATTGTGTAGGAGTAGAAATGCAATATTGGCATGACAGTGTGTGCGTTGTACTTGTGACTTCACAATTTGCTAAGGTTTTTCCCTTTAATTTGATTTATTAATTTTTTCAGTTCCTTTTTTTCCTTTTATTTATAATATATTTAATTTCGGTTATGCTTTCAATTCAATAATTTAATTTGTGTAAAAATGCTGCCTAGTGTACGATAGCCGCTCATGTTTAATTATGATACCACCTGTTGAGGTATTCGACCTCGATTTTCATGTGCGTTAGCAAGTGATAGCACGTGTGCAATTTGTGTGTGATTTTCGAACAATCAGCGAACTCGCTAAAGACTAATTATTTGACTGCTGGTCACATCGTCGACATCATCGTTCTTTGTACGCAGTCGTCATCGCTCTCACCCAAGGACGGCACACCGCCTAGTTGGCCATCGTCTTCTTGGAGCATAACCTAGATAAGTCCTTTGAAAAATTTTACAATTGGCATAACCTGTTTTCTACTTTCTTTTCTCAAAGCTCTTTTCTATCTGCTCTAAGGTTCAGTTTCTTCTTTCTTGTTTCCTATTCGGAATACTCCGTTTACTTTTTTTATCTTTCCATTCTTTTGTTTCATGACTTTATTATCATATAATAAACATTCTCTATTATACCATATTTAGTCTAGAAGCCACAGGGGGTTTCGTGGTCGATCGGGGTCCTACAGATACCAAGGCTTTCTAGATATATTTTGACCTCCTGAATTCAAATCTGCAAGGTGTTTTGCGATAAAAGGTGACCTTCAAATATTATTAACAAATTAAATATTTAAACAACTATAACTTTTCTTCTAAACAAATTCTCGTTCCAAAAAGCATATAAATCGATCCTTTATCGAATGGTAAATCCATCGGTTTTTTCATATTTGAAAAATATTGGTAAAAACCGGGGATATTATAAATAAACTAAAAAAAATCATGATACAAAAAAATTTTATTGTTTACACAGATATTACTTATTTCTAATTAAGCTACGAATCCTAGCAAAGTTTTGAAAGTTCTCTCGATTCATCAGGAATGTAATAATTTTTGAAAATTTTTTAAATATTAATTAGGACTGGAATTATTGGTAATCAACAAACAGAAAAACGGGTGAATTTTCAAAAAGTATTAGTTGAACCACATCGCCTTTTTCCTCTAGGAGGTGACTGGTGCAGCAAATAAGTCAAACGATTCCCTACTTAATGACAAATACGTAACTTTTTTCAAAATATAAAACTATCTGGTAGAACCAAAGATACAGTGAAAAGACTGAATAAAAATATAATGACGCGTGAGCGCGAGGAGCGCGCCTGCCGCCGATCACTATTCGCCCTGAGCGCGCGTAAGCTCCCTTCAGCGCATCTTCTTTTATAAGCTATATTTCGTATTTTGCAACATTTTATCTAGAATAACAAACTGTAGACTGCACTTTTTTAGTGTCATACGTAGTTCCGTTATATTTTTTTTTATTTCGATGGCTAGAAGAAATGCAAATGTATATAACGGCTGCACTTTAACTCTAATTTTAATCCTCTAGTCACTAATCTTTTTAGAAAAATTAAGCAATAAGGCATGTACGTCTTGTCGAAATTATTTAAATTCCAAGTAATGCATTACTTCCATATTTTTTCTTTAAAATGTAATTTTAAAATGCTACAGAAAATAAGATGCAATAGCAAATCGAAAGAAAGCAATAAATTTACCACAATAAGAGTACTTAATATACAAACGTTAACATTTACCATCTTCAATATAAATATCAATACAATTTAAAATTTGCTGCGAATTAGTTTGCCTTTTTTTTCTCAAGTCTTGACTTGTTTATGATGAGCTTGCTGGAACATACTTTTTTTTATATACGTATCGCTGTATATATATTCACTGCGTTTTTACGGGAGTTAATATTGCGGTCAATGGTTTAAGGATAACTGTGTTATTTACGATTTCATAATAATACGGCAAAATCTACCGATAGTTAAAATCTTAAATGGAATAATTGTATAATCTGTTATGAAAAAGAAGAGAGCATTGGACATGCAGATTAAAAAGACGCAAGTACAAGCTCTAAAAAGGGTCGGGAGCAGATTAAAAATCGTTTGAAGTTGCTCCTAGAAAATGGTAAATACCATCAATTACACTTTTTCTTTAATTTAAAAAATACTAGTTATTGAAACAACTACTTCGAAATAGTGATCGGCGGCAGGCGTGCTTCTCGCGTTCACGCGTCGATATGTTTATTCAGTCTTTTCGCTGTATCTTTGGTTCTTAAAACGTTATTACATTCTTAATGAAACAAGAAAGCTTTCGAAACTTTGCTGGGATTCGTAGCTAAATCAGAAAGTTATACCTGCCTAAACAATAAAATTTTGTTGTCATGATTTTTTTTAGTTTAGTTACAATATCTCTGGTTCTTATCAATACTTTTCAAATCTAAAAAAACCGACGGATTTGTCATTGAATATAGGATCGATCTATATGCTACTTGGAACGAGAATATGTTCAGGAGAAAAGTTATAATTATTTAAATATTTAATTTGTTAATAACATTTTAAAGTCATCTCTTATCGCAAAACACCTTGCAGATTTGGATTCAGAAGGTAAAAATACATTTAAAAATTCTTGATTTTCCGTGGGACCCCGATCGGCCACGGAACCACCTGTGGCTCCTAGACTAATTATATTGTGTTTCTATATAAATAATTTCGATATCATTAGGAATAAGTCAGCGGTTGCCTTGGCGACAATATAGCATAGAATTCGATTATAGTCTTTATGTTCAAGGCTATAATTCACATTTTTTAAAAGATTAACTCTTTAACATGCAAATGGCCAAAATTTTAACGTCAACTTCAAGCTCTTGCCTTTCAATTATAACCCGTGTGGGTTGGGTATTAAAAGTCTCATCTTTCGAATAGCATCGTCAGATTT